CAATGCTGTCTGGACCAGCAGATGGTGTAATGGTTATGTCACTGGACTCCCACATAGTCAACTGCAGTTCAAGTCCCAGACTTGGTAGTTAAAAACTCACACTGGACACATGTGCATGTGTGCCCAAAATTCCAAGAGGAGAATGGAGGAGAAGGGACTGCGGTGTGGTCTTCCCCATTGGGGGATGATGTCTTGCTTTTTATCTCTGTGCCTCTCCAGCAAGTGTACACACCCTATAGCAAAAATTTCTCCAAAAAAAGAAACAAAAACAAAAACAAAAACAAACTCTGTCAAAGTTAAAATAACAGGTCTGGCATTCACCTATTACTGTAACAAATTACGGAGATTACACCTAGTAACAGTCTATATAAATATAACCTGGAAACTGAGAAGTGAATTACTGACAAAGTAGGGGTTTGGGTTATAATTATGGATGTTGGAGAACAACAGAGCCCACTCCGCATAGACAGTGGCGACGTGGTCAGGTCGGAGCACACTCACTCGGGATACGCAGGGTCCAGGACGCGGAGCAGCAGCTGGATGAGGAGGCCATAGAAATTCAGACACCTTCTCAGGAAGCTCTCGTCAAGTAAACCGGCGTCAGCACAGGCCTTGCACCGTACCAGTTTCTGTGGAAGGAGGTGCCCCCACCCACGGATTAGTCACAGCAAAGTTCCTGCAGCGTAGCTGGGTCAGGTGATGGGAAATCTGGATTCCAGAGCTTCTAGAGATTTCTCCTTAACTAGCTATAGGATGCTGGCTATGTCTTAAGACCTTTATTTCTCCCAAGATAAACAGTATGCCATGCAAACCTTTGAATACCAAGTCTCACATAGTGCACAAAAAGGTTATTACTGGGAACCAGCAGTTAGCATAATGGCTATGTCGCTGGACTCCCAGGTAGTCAACCGCGGTTCGCGTCCCGGACCCGGTGGCTTAAAACTCACGCCAGGCACGTGTGCGTGCGTGCCCAAGATCCCGAGAGAATGGAGGAGAAGGGATTGCGGCGTGACCATCCCCCCTGGGGGGTGATTTCTCGCTTTCTGTCTCTAATGTCTCTCTCTGTCTGTCTGGCGAGCGCACGCGCCCTACCCTATAGTAAAAATCTCTCAAAAAAAAAAAAAAGTTATTACTACAACATTTCAATAACTTGACTGGGAGAAGGAGTCAACAGGGGAGGCACTCTCTGTATCAGGATGGTCGGTAGGGAAAAACCAGACAGATTTGTGTGTGAATTCCAGCCTCACAAGCCATGATTGCACAAAATACTTGTCCACTGAGAAAATATCTACCTTGGGGGGTTGTGAGAATTAAACACACACTAATATACAAATTCACACACACTAATATACAAAATCGTTTATAGATCTCTTAAAACACATCTGTGGAATGCTTCAGGGACTACAGACCCCTGGTAAGAACCCCTAGTTTATTTTTCAACTTAACAAGGTCTAGTCTATTAGTAAATAAGACTGAAGTCTTAACTTGTGTCAAAAATCAAAACCAGGTAGAAGTTACACACACGATCCTATTAATCAACAGAAAGCATGACCAGCTCACATCCAGCTTTACAATTTAAGCATAAGAAAAATACAGACACCTGCTCTCTATGCTATCCTTGTACAAGTTCAGCCAACATTTGCTTTCAGCTGCTTCAACAGTAGCCATAGTTCCATCTACAGTTAGCTTCTACCTGACAATCATTCTCATTAAAAGCGGGAATAATGGGCCAGCTCTACAGCACAGCGGTAATGTGCTACTCAAGAGAAACCAGATCCCACACAGTGACCATAGATTGATCCCCAAACTGGTCAGAAACACACCAGGCACATGTGCAAGGGGCCAGGATAAAACAGGCCTGAGGACTGGAGGAAAGGGACTGTGGCATGGCCAGACCCCGCAGAGGGTGCATCTCCCTCTGGCGCCCGCGCTAACATGAGTGCATGCCCACACACACGTACTCTCTCATGAAAAAAGAAAAAAAATGTTCTTACAGAAAAGAGAATGAGAGACAAAGGACAGAGATCTCTCCACTATCAGAGATCCACCTTGTCAAACATAATGCAAATACATGACATACTGGCCTATGCGTGTGCATGTACCGGTGTGGATAGCCGGGGTGGTGGCAGCCCTGGGGGAGCTTGCCCAAGGTATGGAAAGGATGATATTAAACCGACAAGGATAAAACCCATTAAGAATTCATATTGTCACTGCATACGCGTATGCACATTCTGTCCTGAGGTTTAAATAATTACACATAGATACGTGCAAGGGATCAACAGTTTTTAGATGTACTATTTTATCTTGAGGGAAGCGAATAATAAAAAAAAAAAATAAGGACATGAAAACTGCTCACTTAAGTCACACAGTCTAGTGGGAAAATTACTATTATGAATCTGGTCTATAATTATTCCAATTAACTATACAAACCTTAAGTTGAGTTTTACAGCGCTTCAGCATTTCGCGATGTCTAGTTGCCAGTGGGGAATCTTTCCATTGGCTTTCATTATTTTTCAAATCTTCCACAGTTCTGAAATGAAAGACTAACAGTCAAGTGAAAGAAAACACCTGAATCCATCTTATTTATTCATTTTGACCATTTAACTGACTCTCAAACGTTTTTTCAGAGTTTTGTTTTGCTATAGGGCATGAACCTTCGCCTATAAGAAGCAGAGAGAGCGGGAAAGTGAGCACTCACCCTCTAGAGGGATGGCTACTGCATGATCCCTTTTCTTCCATTCTCCTGTTGGGATTCTGGGCATGCACACACACGCGCCTGGCATGATTTTCAAGTCACAGGCTCTGGGATTCAAACTGCAGAGCTGGCCATGTGGGATCCAATGCCTTAGCCTCCACATCAACTGCTGGCACCAGGATTTAGCATCTTTAAAACCAAATTATATCTTGGGGCCAGCAAGTGGCATGGTAGTTAAAGGCGCTGGACTCCCACATGGCCGACCATGGTTCAAGTCTCGGACCTGGTGGCTTGCTTGCTCCCTTCCTCTCTCTCTCTGTCTCTCTCGGATCAAACTGGAAAATAATAATGATAATAATAATAAATAAAGTTAAATAAAAATAATTCCTTAAAAAAATGATATCTTATAACCAGTGGCAAGTTATGGTTCAACTGACAGCATTTTTTTTTCTTCTTTTTTTAGGTTTTTGTCATAGAGCTTGTGTGCTCTCCAGAGAGAACAAGTGAGTGAGAGAGAACGGAAGACCTTGAGAGAAAAGGTGAGAAATCATCCCCCAAGGGGAAGGCCGTGCCAAAATCCCTTCTCCTCTGTCCTGGGATTTTGGGCACGCATGTACAAGTACTAAGCGTGATTTTCAAGCCACCTGGTCCAAGAAAAATTAATGGTTAACTTTAGAGTTGATGACATAAAGTAATCTTTTTTGGAAGGAAGAATATTGTTTCCTTATTTCCCTGAGAGGAAAAAAAAAAAACTAGTGAAAATTCAAGGCTAATATGCCTAACGTCATTTCCTTTTCTCCTGATTGCTGTTCCTCCTGCTTTGCTCTCTCTGAGATGGTATCTGGGGTTTGCTCCTTGACTTCTGTCAGGTATCTGCTCAGTTATCATCTGTCAGTGAGGCGAGGTCTTCACTGATCACTAATATACTAGATGTATTTTCTTAAATTGTTGCCAGAGTGTATATGTGCTTGCTAGAAAAGACAAGAAAGAAAGAAAGTGAGAAAGCGACCCCCATGAGGAGTAGCGAAATGGTACTCCATTCACCTCCTTTTTTTTCTTTTGGGATTTTGGACATGGATGCCTATGTGCTTGGCTGTTTTGCAAGCCACCTGGCTGGCCATGTGGAATCCAGTCACCTGAGCCACCAAGCCACCCAAAGCTAAATATTGTAAAGGCTGGATCACTTGGTACTATTCTAACCCCTATCTATCATGACACTGTATGGTAAACTAGAAGTTGTTAAATCTCAAAAACTACATTTCCCAAACTCTCTTGCAGCCAGCATTTCTGCAAGACCTAGCTTCTACCAAGAGATGGACCCTCACTGAAAGCAACAGTGAATGTGGTGAAGCAGCTGTCACATGAGTCTTCTGGAAGCACAGTGGTGGAGGGTTTCTGGCTGAAGCTGTGACAGAGACTCTACTGTTAGGATGACCCATGAAGCAGCTTCCTTGTCTGCCCAGGTTCCAAGCAGAGTTCTGTGAGTTCCCTTTTGCAGCCATTCTTTCCTTTTTCTTTTTTAAGTTTTTCCCTTAGGTTGAGTGTGCATTCACCAAAGAGAGAGATAGTGAGAGAGAAAGTAAGAAATCACCCCTCAGTGGGGATGGCCACACCACAATCCTTTCTCCACCATTCTCCTCCTGGGATCTTGGGCATGCATGCACACGTGCCAGGTGTATTTTTTAAGCCACCAGGTCTGGGACTTGAACTACACCCAGCCATGTGGGAGTCCAGTGATGTAAATAGCAAGCCAGTTGCTAGCCCTTTGCAGCCATTCTAATGATTCAATAAAGCAAATATTGGGTTGTTGGAAAAGTCATGACACATTTCTTCATAGAAAAACATAGAAAAATATGTCATGACTTTTCCAATGATCCAATAGTACCCTGTAATAATCCCCTTTCTGTTATCCCAGATAAACTGGATTCTTTAGTCTGTAAGTGAAATAAGAGTGTGACAGACAAAACAATGCCCCCCCCCCATTCTAACCCCTAGATGGAACCCGTAAATATCTGACCTTACATGGCAAACGGGACTTCGCAGATTAAGAGAATGGACCTTGAGATGGGGACATTATCCTGGATTGTCTGAGTGGCCCAATGTCATCATGAAGGTCCTTCTACAGGAAGAGGGAGGCAGATCTGAGAAGATGTTACAATGGCATCAGAGGTGTGTGTATGAGAGAGAGAGGTCTAAGATACTACGCTCTACCCCCAGAAACAGAGGAAGGGGCCATGAGCCAAAAAATACAGGCAGCTTCTAGAAGCTAGAAAAGGAAAAGAAAGAGATCCCTCCCACTTAGAACCTCCAGAAGAAATACAATCTTGATGTGAGGACTTCCAACCTCCAGAAATGTAAGCTAATGATTAGTGTTATTTTGAGTCACTAAGATGGCGGTAATGTATTGCAGTAGCAAAAGGAAACTGATGTAATGGCCTATGTGATTACTGGTACCAGGAGAGGTTCCAGGTAACAGGACCTCACAAAAAAGGGGCATCACGCTCTCTGCCTGGACTGGTTTGACAGTGGTGAAGATCTGTTAAGTCAGTGTTTGAGGGTGGAACACTGACAGTGTAAGCCTCTGAGCGCAAAAGGCAGCTCCATAATGATGACTGTGACTTGCTGGAATGAAGACAGAGTGGCTACCTCTAATTGAAGTGGAGACTCTACAGGAAGAAAATGACAAGCTTGATTTAAATTCTCACCTGAAGGAAAAGTAATGAGCCTGGGAGTTTAAAGACTACTGTAGAGGAAGAGAGTCTGGTCCTATAAATGACATGCTGTAACACAGGTTAAACTAACTTTACTGGGCCTTTTATCAGAAACCCAGGGCAAACACTGGGACCCCAGGATTCAAAGGGAGGAATCTGGAGAATTCGATGGATCCAAGTACGCAGATCCTGAAGCCCTCTCAAGCAGCTCCCACAGCAGTACTGTTTAAGGGCATGCCTTGCCAGTCTCCTGAGGTTCCACCCCATTATCCGTCATTCTTTCTAGAGCCACAATAAGATTCAGATCAAGCACTGTCCTTAAGAACCAATTAAAAAGTCACATGCTGGAGAAAGACATGACAACAAAAAGGCAAGATTTGGTAATCTGTTATATCAGTTTTCTATTCTCTACAGCAAGTTACCACAAACTTACTGCCCCAGTTATTGTCTTAGCATTCTGGAGACTGGAAGTCTAAAATGGGTTATCAAGGATGGTTCCTTCTGGAGGCTCTAGGGGAGAATAGGCTTCCTTATCTTTTCCAACTTCCAGAGGTTACCTACAGCCCTTGGCGTGTAACCCCAAATCACTCTGACCTCTGCTTCCATCATCACATTCCTTTTCTCACTCGGACCCTCATGACTTTCTCTTTATATAGAGACCTTGGTGTTGACAATGGATCCAACGAGGTAGTCCAGGATCATCTCCCCATCTCTTAACTTCATTCACATCTGCAAAGTCCCTCTTACTATGTTAAGGTTACACATGTCACTATGTTAAGGTTCTAGGGACTAGGATGTAGATGTCTTCAGCACATCACGATTCTAACTCCCATATCTGTACTGCCAGTATGTGGGGGTATGTATGGGTTACATGTGGACACAGATTTTAAGGATACTTGTCAACAAGAAATGAAAATGCTAACATACTTCTATTAGAGCTGACTGCATTGACATGACTGTAGCTACCAAAGACTGCACTCAATATTACCCTGAATTGTGGGGAAGGGTTCTCACTATGTGGCCAATTAGTTGACTGAACCTGGGAACTGACAGTGACCATGCTGAATGAAGCTGAGTTGCCAAGTATTCCTTGATATAATTTGAAGGAAGGAATTGAAAAGTTATAGAGTCTGAACATTAACATAGATTCACCATGTGGAACTTGTGTGGATAATCCCCCTTCCTTCCTAAGTATATAAAGTATATGCTCATATACACACACACCATGTCCTAGATGGCATTTCGGATATGACAGCATTACCAAGTACACAGCTGAGGAAAAAGCTCAACAGTGCCTGCTCACGCTAAGCTGGGAGAAGTAAAAGTGGCAGCTGGTGCCACAGAAATGAACCCTCCAAAGTCAGTGGGAACGATGGGATCTTAGGGTGGCAATCCATTCTAAGATGAAGAAAGAGATAAATCCAGTTTTTTCCTTGCTTTCTTTTTCTTTTCAGTTTTTGCCATAGGGCATGGACATGGGCCTATGGCAAAAAGGGATAAGGACAGGGAAAGTGAGAAATCCTCCCCCCCCGCCACCCCCCGAGGTGATGACCACACCACAATTCCTTCCCCTCCATTCTCCTCTCAGGATTTTGTGCACACATGCACATGGGCCCAGCACATTTTTCAGGACACTGGGTCTGAGACTCGAACTGCACAGAGAGCCATATGGGATCTAGCTGCCTTAACAACCATGCCAGTAGCTAGCCTAATTTTGAACTTTTTAATGACTCTCTCAATGACTGATATTAAAAGTTGATAAAAATCAGCAAAGATGAAAAAAAAACTTTAATGAAAGATTAATCAACTTGACCTAAATGACACATATGAAACACTGCAATAATACCAAAAGTACATTCTTTTCAGGTTATCAAGAACATTTACTAATAAAAATATCAGGCTATGAAGCAAGTCTCAACAAACAAAAAAAAAACACAAATCATGGGACCAGCAGATGGTGTAATGGTTATATATCACTGGACTCCCACACAGTTGACCATGGTTTGAGTCCCAGACTCAGCAGCTTAAAACTAACACTGGGCACATGTGTATACTTACCCAAAATCCCGAGAAAAGAATGGAGAAGGGACTGCAGCATGGCCGTCCCCCTGGGGGGATGACTGCTCACTTTCTGTCTCTCTCTGTCTCTCTGGCAAACATACACGTCCTATAGCAAAAATCTCTTCAAAAAAACCCCAAACGACACAAATCTAATGACACATAATATATTCTCTGACAACAACGGAATTTAGCTAGAGATTAACAACAAAAGATAAATAGACAAATACTCCAAGAGTTTGGGATTTAAATATATTTTAAAAAATAACTTGAAGGTCATATAATAAAAAAATAAAATAAAAACAAAAACAAAAACAAAAAAACCTAGGAATATTTTTAAGTAAAAATAAGTTAGGACCTACCAAAAATGAGGGAGGCAGCTAAAGCTATGCTTACAAGGAAATGAAACAGTCTTAAATGCATATAGAGGACAGGGTTGAAGATGAGTGGTTTAAGTATCCATCTCAAGAAGCAAGAAAAAAAAAAAAAAAAATTAAAACAAACAAAGAAAAACTAATGTTCTTTATTGAGATGCTAAATATGGTCATATTCTTGATTTGATCATCATACAATGCATACATGCTTTGAAAAACCACACTGTACCCACAAAGATATATAACAATTAAATGTAAATAAGAAATAATAAAATATGTGGGCAGCAAAGTGATGAGGTGATTGGGGCTCTGGACCCCCACACGGTCGACCATAGTTTGAGTCCTGGACCTTGCAGCTTACTTTCTTTCTTACCCTTTGTGTGTGTGAGTGTGTGTGCATGCGCGCACATGTATCTGTCTCTCTCTGGTGATTAAATGTGTCCTATAACAAATTTTAAAATAATAATAAACAAAATTAAATAATTATTAAAAATTAATAAAGAAGTGAAAGAAAAAGCTGTAAAAAAGCAGAACTAAATAAAGATCCTACAAACATTAAAATGGTTACAAGAGCATACTATGAATAACTTCATGTCTAAATATTTTGAAATTTTAGCTATCAAGGAAAAACTATCATAAGAAAAAAAATCTAAATACGCCCTCTACCACCAATGGAGCACTATGACACCATAGTCCATTCTCCATTTTTCCATCTTGTGGGATCTGGGTCACACAAACACATGTTCTGTTGTGTTTTTCCAAGCCACTGGGGCCAAGATTCTGATCACAGTTGGCCATGTGGACCCATCTCCCTTAATTACTAGACTACAGAGCCATCCCAGTTCTGTAACTAAATATTAACTGAATAAAACCCATAATGAAAACCTTCCCACACAGAAAACTCTAAGCCCCGACAGCTTCATCATTGGATTTTTCCAGGCATTTAAAAAGAAATAACATAATTATTACATAATAAACCTTTCCAAAAATTATTTTTCTTACTTCAATCTGCCAGAGGGCATGTGTGCTGCCAGAGAGTGACACAGAGAGAAAGAGAAAAAGTGAAGGCAGAGAGATGAAAAACATCTCCCCCTCCCCTACAAGGGACATGGTCATGCCACAATCCTGTCTCCTCCATTTCTCCCTCTTTTTAGAATTTTGGGCGCATAAGCACAACCACCTGGCATGTTTTTTGAGTTGTTAGGTCTGGGACTTGAACCATGGAGTCAGTTACGTGGAATACAGCTTACACAGCCACCAGGAGAAAGGGAATAGACCTAACCTTGTGGCCCAGGTAAAGTGCAACATTGTGAAGTTGGAAGTCACGTGGGAACCCCAGGTTTAGATCATGGGTCCATCTAAACATACCAGATACAACCGTGATCCTGGCTAGCTGGAAGGCTGTGAGATGGTGATGTGATGAGAACTGGTTGAGGGTAGGTACCTCTCTCCCTCTCTGTCTCTCTTGAAATAGTAAACTTAAAAAAAAGGGAGGGGGAAGGACAACCCAGTTCATTCTACGAAATAAGCACAACTTTGATACCAAAATCTGAAAAGTATATAACAAGAAATGAAAATTACAAACATATGGTTGTGTTGCTGGACTCCCACAGTCAACTGTGGTTCAAATATTAGACCTAGTGGCTTAAACTCACGCTGGGTGCGAGTGCGTACATGCCCAAAATCCTGAGAGGAGAATGGAGGAGAGGGACTGTGGCATGGCCATTTCCCCAGAGGAGTGATTTTTCACTGTCTTTCTCTATCTCTGGCAAGCGCATGTACCCTATGGTAAAAAAATCTCTCTCTCTAAGGGGAAAAACAAAACGAGACAAAACAAAATATGAAAGTTGGGTTTACTTCAGGAATGAAAGATTGGTTTAGTATCAGAAAATCAGCTGATGTAATTCAAACACATTAACAGAATAAAGAGGGGGAAAAATCCAATCCCCTTAATAGATATAAGAAAAGCATTTGGGATCAGCAGTAGGCATAATGGCTATGTCGCTGGACTCCCATGCAGTCAACTATGGTTTGAGTCCCAGACCTGGTGGCTTAAACTCACGCCGGGTACATGTATAAGCATGCCTAAGATCCCAAGAGGAGAATGGAAGAGAAGGGATTGTGGTGTGGCCAACTCCCTTGAGGGGTGATTCCTTGATTTCTGTCTCTCTCTGTCTTTCTGGCAGGTACACGCGCCCTATAGCAAAAACCTCTCAGAAAAAAGATATAGACAAAAAAAAAAAAGAAGGGACCAGCAGTTAGTGCAATGGCTATGTCGCTGGACTCCCACGTAGTTGACTGTGGTTTGCGTCCCAGACACAGGGGCTTAAAACTCATGCCGGGCACGTGTGCGTATGTGCCCAAGATCCCGAGAGGAGAATGGAGAAGGGACTATGGCGTGGCCATCCCCCCTGGGGGGTGAGATTTCTCACTTTCTGTCTCTCTGTCTGTCTGGCAAGCACATGTGCACTATAGCAAAAACCTCTCCAAAAAAAAACAGAAGGCATTTAATGAAACTCAACTCCTATTAAAAATAAAAAAAACTTTAAACAAACTAGAAATAAAAGGGAATTTCCTTAATCTGGCAACAGAGGATATACAAAAAGCTTTTCCCCAATTAACTGGAATATGACAGAAATTTCAAGGTTATCTCTACTTAACATTGTACTAGAAATGATAGCCAATGCACTAAGGCATGGAAAAAATATATATAAGAAAGGAAAAAAACTGTTGTCATTATTATGTTTAAAAAGAAAGTCTTAAAGCATCTTGAGAGTAAATATTATAATTAATGGGTGATCTTAGCATGGTAGATACAGTTATAGATATGACACATTTTTCTCTCTTAGCCAGTGACATAGGACCAGAGGTAAAAGTGGCTTCTCTACTATGAGGGGACTTCAACTTCAAAAAGTTTGTGGAAAATGAAATTAAAGTACAGATTTATTTTGCTGGGGGAAAAAATCAATGCAAATTTCTCCACAATACGCATTTCTATGAAGTTTCTGAAGACCTTCTGTACTATTCCAGATGACCTGTTAAGAAAATGTTGACTCCATATTCCTGTGACTTTCATCTGGAGGTGCAGGTACATGGAGAGGACAAACTTAGATTAGGAAACACAATGGTGCTAATGACCTGTAAATGGAGGCTGCTCAATGGCCATTCTGGACTCCTTATGCCATGGGACAACAGGCAAAAAAGGGAATTACAGGTTGGAGAGAGTAAATGACCTTGATTACAGGGAAAGCCATGGTTACTGTCTCATAGATCAGAAAGAGAAGGGCATGTCTAGAACCCATGTACATGCTGGAATGACATGTACGCGGGAAAACATTAATGGAAGTCTGTAGTAACCACACACAGAGAGGAATACCAAAAGTCAGAAGTCTCAAAATCAAGGTTTGGATCACCTCACCAGATAAAGAACACTCAATAGTTGAGGAAAATGGATGTGGCAGCAGAGGCAGGAAGGAGCCTGTAACATATGCACCATCCCCCACAATCAAATATTGGAACTGCTTGTTCTTGGGAACAAGTGGTGACTCAGGAAATCCCAGGACATGGCATCACGGCACATACCTATTGAGCTCTCGGATGGCCCGGAGTCTGCGGATATAGCGACGGCAACTAGGCAGAATAGAGAGGTGGTGAGCGTGCAGGGTGAGAAAGAAGCATTCCGTGGGGAATTTCGGCTCAGAAAATGGAGGCTGATCTCCATCTAGGAAAAATAACATAATTCCCTAAATAAAACTTATCAAAAGTCTAAATCAGGACAAAGCTAAACTCAGAAGACAAAATTAAACTTGAATTTTCTAAAAGTTTGAGATTTTTCTTCAATTACCAGGAGTATAGGTGCTCACCAGAGACAGAGGGAGACAGAGAAAGCAGCCCCCCACAATGGGGTGTGGTCACGCTGCAATGCATTCTCTTCCACTTCTCCTCTCGAGGTTTTGGACACACGTGCACACGTGCTCACAGTGTTTCTCAAGCTGCTGGAACTGGAACCATGTGAGATCCAGCTGCCTTAACCACCATATCACCAGCTGGCCTGATATACATTTTTTTGGAGGGGAGACTAACTCAAGTAAGAATTTTTTACTGTATTAATTTTTATTACGTATCTCTAGCTCATAAATTAATTTTATAGCAAGGATGTAACCATTTGTTGGAATCACGGGTGTCTGGACAAAAGAGCAGTGTTTTAAGGACCTAAATGAAGAAGCTACTCACAGAGTTCCGTCAGCCATTCGTTCACATCCTCCATTGTTGCGTTCACTCGTGTTTCATCATTTGGAAGAGTAATCCGACATCGTGGGTGGAATATATATGTGGGATCAACCGTTTCTAGCTTGATTTTTGTACTTAGCTGTTGTAGTACCCAAAGGAAATTCAGCATAAATCCATCTGTAGATACCAATCTATCATCTGTCTGTGAAATATAAAAGAAAGTATTTAAGTGATATGAACAGAAATTCTAGTACAACTTTACATGAAAGCAGACTAAATAGTCAAACATGACCATACCCTGAAGTCAATGAGAGGATGTACACAGCAACCTGACTCATTTTTTTTTAGAGAGAGATTTTTGCTATAGGGTGCATGTGTTCACTGGAGAAAACAGAGAGAAAATAAGAAATCACACCCCATGGGTGTTGGTCATGCTGCAATCGCTTCTCCTTCATTCTCTTCTCGGGATTTTGGGTGCATGCACACATGTTCACGGCATGAGTTACAAGCTGCTAGGTCCAGGAATCGAACCATGGTCAGCCATGTGGGAACCCAGTGTCTTAACCACTATGCCACCTGCTGGCCCCACGACTGTCATTTGTTTTTTTAGCAGGTGGTCATTGTTAAACGTCAATTATATGTAAAGCACTTTATACATTCTCCCACTGAATCTTCACCATAACTCTTAGAGGTCAGTAACGTTGGTATTCATATTTTACAGAGGAAAGTAAAGCTCAGAATTTAAATTATTTGCTCAAGAGCCTCAAAATAAGTGAAAACATATTGATAATGTTGCTCTTTCTTCTTTATTTTCCCTCAAGGACATCAGGTCGCCTAGCTGCAATTGCTACCACTGTGCATTAGCACAGTCCTGTATTAATACAACAATTACAAGAATGGCAGTTATTGTCAGTTGAGTGGTCACTACGTATTAGGCACAATTCTAACAACTTTATATATAATAAATCTACAAATTAGGCACTATTATTATAACTTTAAAATTGCTAGGGATAAGTGGGCAGGTAGCAAAACACGTGGTAGTTAAGGTGTTGGATCCCACATCGCTGACTTCATGGTCTAGTCCCAGACCCAGCAACTTGCAAATGCTGGGCGCCTGTTCATGAATGGAGAAAATCCCAAGAAGAGAACTATCCCCTCTGGGGGATGATTTCTCACTTTCCCTCTTTCTCTGTCTCTCTTCACTCTTTCTCTCTCTCTGGCGAGCACACATGCCCATACCAAATCCTAAAAGAAAAAAAAAAAAACACCAGAGGGCATGTGTGCTCCCAGAGAAACGAGAGAGAAAGACTCCCCAGCCCCAATGCAGCAGCACACGTTTCCCTCCATTCCTCCTGTCAGGATTTTGGGCATGCATCCAGTATAGGTTTTTCTCCAAGCTATGGAGGCTAGGTTTCAGATTGCCACTGTCCATGTAGGATCCAGCGCCCATAACCCCTGCGCTACATGGCCCACCCACATTACAGCCTCTTGTTATTCCACCTAGGAGATGAGGAAAGTGAGGCAGAGACGTGACTGACTATGTTCTCACTTTTAGTAAGTGATGGGACCACGAGGGTTGTGCTTTCTCTCTCTAGTCTCTCGGTAAAGGTGTCAGATAATTTGTTATTTATCAACGATCTCTGCAGGGTGCCCTTCTAACTTCTCTACTCTGGCAAAGCAGCCCCAGCCATGAGCCCTTTCCCCAGGACTGATGCTCTCCTGTGTGACCTTGCGCATGCCTAGAAGCTCTCTGTTCAGTCTTGCAGTGGCTGGTTCTTCTTCTCAGTCATGTCTCTGATCAAAAGTTACCTCCTCAGAGACCTTCCCTGCTATCCAATCAAAAATCACCCCATGTCTTCCTTCTGGGGCCTCTACAGTTAAACCGTTTACTTTGCTTTATTTTCTTCATAGATTCCGTTAGTCTGAAATAGGCTACAAGCCCAACATGGGCCAATACACTTGCTCGTTTATCCTGAAGAACACGGTCTCCACCAAAGCAGGACGCTTCTTCAATGCTGTATGACCAACTCCTAGAACAATGCCTGGTAGGCACTGAAGAAATCTAGGTTAGAGGAATGAATTTAATGAATAAAAATTGTCTCTTTAGCAAGCCTACCTGCATCTGTGCTTTCTTCATATTGGCATTGACAACAGCTGCCATGTAACCCAGAGCAGCTTCACGGGTTTCACCATTTAACAAAATACTATGCAGAATCTTGAAAAGCTCTTGCTGAAATTTATTAAAAAAAGAAAAAATATTACAACTTTATTTTTAACATATTTCTTTTTCATTCCAAAAATAGCTAGGCACTTCTCACTTTCTCTCCTCTCCCCCTCTGCTCATTTCAGTAGAGCCTGACTACCAAGAGGAATCTAAGAAATGTCCACATTCAATTCAGTCAAGACTATTAGCACGAAGGCAGAATATGGAGTGGGGGAGGTAAGTCGTCAAGAGTTTTCATAAAATAGCCTTTGTTATTTCTTTTCCATGATTGAAAATACGTTTGTTACCCAAACCTATCATTTTTTTTTGCTTTTAAGGTCAGAATAGAAGCTATCTATAGCTTATCTTTTATTGATCCTTTGGATTTTTGGTTTTCTGATTTTCTGGACACCTACCCGTCCCAGCTCCAAGTAATGCTGCAGTGACTGGCTCACCACACGAGTGTTTTCCAGGGTAATGGCAGGCCCTGAGAAATACTTTTCAACCACTTTAACCTGGAAGGAGAAGGAACAGACTCAATGAACAGACAGTGCACATTTGGGAAGCAATGTGAACAAAGAGCAGCAAAGTGCACGTGGCCACTATACTTACATCATCTTCTGCAAAGACTGAGAAGCTAAAGAAGGCCCCCAAGTAAGACAGTCTTTGCAGCTCCCGCCCAGAGCCAGGGCTTAAGGATTTCGGCAACCACAACGGTAAAGAAGCAATCTAGGTATAAAATGGGAGAGACCGATCAAGCTATGAAATAGGCAAGTAAGGTAAAAATGTAATGAACAGGTCTTTAGCCTGACGCTTTCCATCCCCAAACACAAGGCACACAAAGATGGCAGGAGCCCTGCTGCTAGTGTTTCATCTCAGACAGAGGACACCCAAGTCCTCTGTACAAGACCGTCTTTGAATTTTTTTGTTTCAAGATACTCTTCAATGGAGTTCAAATGAACTCTACTTTTTTTTCTATTTTACTAGAGGGTGTGTGTGCTTGCCAGAGAGACACAGAGATGAGAAGAAGGGAGAGGGAGAAAGCACGAGGCATGAGGCATGGTCACGCCCCAATTGTTTCTCCATCTTTCCATCCTGTCAGGATTTTGGTCATATATGTACATGTGTTTGGTGTGTTTTTCAAGCCACCCGTCTGGGTCTCAAACTGTGTGGCTGGCCAGAGAGAATCTGCATCCATTTACCAAGCCATGCCTGGCCCACATTCTCTTTTTTATAAAATGATGTGTGGGGGGGGGGTCAGCAAATGGCATAGCAGTTACGTCACTGGACTCCCGCATTGCCGACCATGGTTCAAGTCCTGTACCCGGTGGCTTCAAACTCACACCAGGTGCATGTGTGTGCATGTCCAAGGTCCTGGAAGGAAAATGGAGAAGAAGGGATTGTAACATGGCCATGCCCTTTGGAGGGTGATTTCTTGCTTTCTGTCTCTCTGGTGAGCACATGTGCCCTATAACAAAAATCTCTCCAACCAGCCAACCAATAAATAAAGTGTGTGTGTGTGTGTGTGTGTGTGTGTGTGTGTGTGTGGTGTTTTTTGAGACAGGTTCTCACTGTCTCTCAATCCACCTGCCTTAGTCTCGTGCATAGTAGAGACCACAGGCATGTGCCACCATGTCCAGCTCTTCAGGACGAGCCAAGGATTGAACCCAGTCCCCCTATAAGGCCTTGGCCTGCTGAGCAAAAGCATCCAGTACTTGCTACTGCAGCTGGGCCCAGATGAACTATTCTTACACAACCCAAGAATTCAAATCAATCTTTCCCATAGGGATTACTAGTCTCATTGTATAACACTTATGCCTCAACAAAAATCAGAGACGAAAGTAAACAACTTGATCACACGAAATAATGTGTATAACAGCAATTTAACTGTTGAGAGCCTTCCAGACATGTTTCTCCCATCTATACTTAAATGTCCTTCAGGAGAAGTTTCTAAGATAATATTACTAAGGGATGCCTTCAGAGTTCCTTCCACTGAGAATGCACAAGCCCATCAGGGAGACGCTTACCAAATTACACATAGGATGTGTCTTCCCAAACTTGGTTTCACAGAGCTCACCTAATGCCTAGAAGTAAGATCAGAAAGAGTTGCTTACATGTATTTCATATAAAACGGCATTTCCTCTAAAATGATAACAGTTTTACCACTTTTCCTAGTTAACACTCGTGTATTACAAAACATTTTTAAAAAAGAAATATAAGATAAAACTAAAAAAATCACTCAAACTTTACCCTCAGAGATAATTTCTTCTGATATTTTGATTAACATACTTTTGTGTATATACACATGGAAACAAATGTGTACCTTTTTCTGTGCCAAAAAGATTCGTTTCATAAACTTGAGATAGTCTTGCTAGTGATAAACAGGACTATAATTACAATTTAATAAATACCAAACTCAGAATCCATTTAAAAACATGACTTGGTTTCAAGATAACATGGTATTTTTGAGAACTCCAACACTTTCCTTTGGAGTGCCAATCATTCTCATATTAGAGAATTATGCAAAAATTTTAAGTGCATAAACATAAACAAAGTCAGGGTAATCCAGTCAAACATGGTGCTGTACAGCGAACTTCACTTTCTCTGTGACTTAGACACGGCTATAAAAGTTGTCCGACCACCTAAAGGCAGGCACTGACGAATCTTTGCGACATCTCGGGCTCAGAGCACTGCTCGGAAGTAAAAGCTCTCACTGCCTAGAGTGCAGGAGTTCACATCAGGGTCACAGGGGACGTCCCAATGCCATGCCAGGTCCCCAGTGAATTAAGTTCCAATACCTGGGGCAGGGAAAGACCCGCAGGTGATTTCAAGGAATACTCACTGACCTAGAGAATAATCATGACTATTTCTGATTTTAGCTCCAACAGTCGCTCCCTTCCTGTCTCTCATTACGGCGCTTTCTCTCACAGCACCCACATTATACAAGCATTCAATAATGGCACAAAATAAAATCATTGTCTACCACAATGGAGGCCTTTGTCTTTTGACCAAGCAGGACATTTTGTTATCTAACACTAAAAGCTCCTCCCTGAAAAATCAAGCTAATTCAAACCACGACCAAAAAGCCAATAATTCCATGACGGAATATTTACATAATATAGTGATAATTAGTGGTCACCAAAACATCCTATCGCTGAACCCAAACAATCAGATTATTCTGCTTCCTTTCATCTGCCAGAGACAGAACAATGCAGAGGACTAACAGAATCTTCTTAGAAACCTGGATGACATGGACAGTGGAGTCCCTGGTATAAAGCCATTCCAAATCATTTTTAAACATAAAGATTCCTGTTTCACCTTCTAGTTTCATGGCATTTGCTTTAACGTTCAGCCTATTGATTTGATGATAATAGTTTTTGATGTTTTAAACAGATAATGCACCCTTTGTGTACGCTCGGCTTTAGCATTTATCACAGTACAATTCCCTGACTCTTCGGTTGTAGTTTTGAGATATGCAGTAGATAATCAGCACCTGTTCCCGGTGCCTATCACAGAATGGACCTCGGTAAGTTATGAATTAATGGTATCACGGAATCAAATCAGCAGCATGAGTAAAAGGAATAAGCTAAAAGATCAATTTAAATATGGCCTCAATTTACACGAGATTGGATTGAGACTTAAGGTAAACGAATGCTACGTGTTGATGCTTTTGCCTTCATACTTTTAGAATGAAAAATATCTAAGCATACGCCAAAATGCTTTTCTATCAAAATTTCAAAGAAGCAAATTCAGAACAGAAAAGAGGCTCTTATTTTCATCTTGGTTCCACTATTTTTGTAACAGTCAAGTCCTCCCAGGACTAGCCAAAGGCTCTGTCCATAATTTATGCTTGCTCTGACTGCCTTACATGCTAAGCAGGTCTGTGTTTCCCAAGTAAAACCTGCAGATGACGTGTGCTACCTGAGGAAACAGGGAAGATGAACAAGAGAATTATTCTGAGGTTTTCTGTACAAATCAATACATAAAGAGCAAATGGTATTTTTATTTTCCTAGTATAACTCTGTCTTTTATGAACATTGTCATAGACTTTTTCTAATAACAAAAATTCATCCCAAATAGGGTCTGCTCATTGCTAGGAGAATCAGAAGCACATACCAGCAATTCTCCTTTTGCCTTAGCTACACACAGTGTGGTGAGGCCACTGACTCCTGCCTAGAGCTAGGAGGTGCAACGTGTACCAGGCTGCTAACTGTCTTCACTGATGGCTCTCACTGCACACGAGCACTCTGCGAGGATAACACAATGGTCTCATGTTTTACATTTGAAAACAAGACTGATCATGGACCTGAAAGAAAAGTGTATGTTAAAATAATCTGAAAGAAAAACATCTATGGAATGAGTTGAAGGAAAAAGAACAAAGTTTTACCATGAGGGGATATTTGAAGTAGTCACTATCGAGGGAGCACTCTTTGGCAGCAAGAGCCAGGCCTTGTAAAATGGGGATAAAGATCTATAAAGGAAAAAAAAAAAATCAGAAATGTAAGGTTAAGAAAATTTAAGAATGGAAAGCATGTCAGATAAGGTGCTAATCTGCACGTCCAGACATTTCTACTCACTCCTTCCCCAAGTATAAGCTTTTTTACAAGTAAAGGACAGAGAAAGACAGTTTACTAATATCTGACACTAAATGCATAAGGAGTAAAATTAGAGTAGAATTCAGAGTGTTTATCCATCCTTTCACAAAGCTAACCATAAAGTAATGCAGCTGAAACCTCTCGGAATAAGAGGATTTCAGTGAACCGTAACACTCTGGGCACAAACTGAGTACCGCAACGGAAATCCACAAAGGTAGAGCCTGCTAACGGACGCTGCAGGGTCCTTGCTCGAATCAACTACGTTTTGCACATTCCAGCAACTAAAATGGTTTTGTTTGTCAAATCAATAGTACGTGAACAAATTAGACTAAATGTTGCAATATTTTTTCAACTTTATCAATATTTTTTTCAAGTCTTATTTATTTTGAGGGAATAAGAGACCAATAATAGGGGACCAGCAGTTGGCATAACGGCTGTGTCACTGAACTCCCATGTAGGTAGTCGACTGCGGTTCAAGTCCCCGACCTGGTGGCTTGAACTCACGCTGGGCATGTGTGTGTGTGCATGCCCAAGATCCCCAGAGGAGAATCGAGGAGAAGGGATTGAGGCATGGCCATCCCCTGGGGGGGTGATTTCTCGCTTTCTGTCTCTCTGTCTCTCTCTTTCTGGCAAGTGTACACGCCTTATAGCAAAAACCTCTCAAAAAAAACCAAGAGAGACCAATAATAGATACTGCTATTACAGTAAAGTTAACTAAGAGATAAGATATAGACGGCAAATGTTAAAACTGAAAAAAAAAAGGTGTTTTCATTAGAATGCCTTACATCCATATAGAGTATAACTAATATTATGCAATAACCTGATCTTAGAGCTTAAGGAAACTCAAATTTGGGGGCCAGCTCGCAGTGTGGTGGCTAGGGTGTTGTACTCCTACACAGCCAACCACAGGGTCCTGGATCTGGTGGTATGCTTTCTCACTTTCTCTTTCTCTCTCTCCCTCTCTGTCTCTCCTGGTCAAATTAGAAAATAATAATTAAATTAATTCTCAGAAAAAGAGTATTCAAATTTACTTTCACAAGTTTACTATTAATATTGGATAGCATTATGCAAGTTTTGCTTAGCACAATTCACCTTCACATTTCACAATCTGCTCACTGATCAACATCTGGGAAGTTGTTTGGGATTCAAAGCTAAGAACATTAAATAGAGAATGTAGCAAACAAGAGCTGATAATCTGAATGCCAACAAGTTGTAAAGGAAGTATATTATGAAACCTCTTGAAAACCTGAAAAATATCTATTCCTATGAGTTTAATCCCTCATCATTTAAAGGTCATAAAACAAAAAAGGTGCCCAGATTACAATGTATCTGTGGAGTGTTTTGAGATACCAACAGAGCTCTGGAAAAAACTATTCCAGTTTTGTAACTCAACCAATAAGGGTAATGTGCTTTCATAAACTAGTTCAAAACAGAGATGGAGCTCAGGAGTGGGGGTGAAAAACGCCAAAACTGCACTCAAGAAGAAAAGACAAACAAGTTTTCGAAACAACAAAAAATAGATTTCAGGGCCAGCAGATGGTGTAGTGGTTAAAGCTTTGGATTCCAGTTCAAGTCCTGGATAAGGCAGCTTGAAACTCATGCTGGGCATGTGTGCATGCATGCCCAAAACCCTGAGAGGAGCATGGAGGAGACGGACTGTGGCATGGCCAACCCCCCCGGGGGATGATTTCTTGCTCTCTGTGTCTGTGTCTCCAGTGAGGAGGTTTTTGACCTATAGCAAAACCCTCAAAAAAGAAAAAGAAAGAAAAATCAGATTTTATCATTTTCCAGTCAGTCGGAAAAGCTCTAAATTTTTTTTTTCAGAAATACTTTAAGTAAAACAGCTTTCTTCCTTCTAGAAGTCACCCTCTTGTGCAAGTAGGGCTTAATAAATAATGAAGAGATGAAACTTTAATAATTGCATTTTCCAGAACTTTTCATTTATCAGTGAACACCTCTTAAATAGTAAAAGTAGAAATCTTAGCCAAATATTTAATAATTCACATTTGCCACACCTTTAACCAAAAAGGTAAAATGTCATTTTTCTGTTCAGTAGTTCCATTTCACTCATCATTTCTCTCTAGATAAAATGCATGGTAACACATAAGGAAGACTGCATGTGTTCAAGACTGAGCAGCTGAAAAGGCATCAGAATTCTGTGATTAAATATAAACATGTCCCGGGGCTGGCAGGAGGCATGGTGGTTAAGAGCACTGGCCAACTGCGGTTTGAGTCCTAGACAAGGCGGCTTACATTCTCACTTTCCCTCTCTCTCTCACTCTGTCCCTCTCTGGTCAAAAATAAATAAATAAACAGATAAATGAATGCCCTTCTTTATAAAAACAAACAGTTCCCAAACAAACAAAGAAAGAAAAAGGGGAGGGGTCCAGGAGGTGGCATGGTGGTTAAGGCACTGGACTCCCACATCGCTGGCTCTGGTTTGAGTTAGAGACCTGGTGGTTTGCTTTCTCACTTTCTCTCTCTCTCTCTCTCTGTCTCATATCTCTCTTTCTGGTGTGCAAATTTAAAATAATAATAAATTAAATTAAACATTCTTTAATGAATAAACAAACAAGTCAGGGCCAGCAGGTAATATAGTGGTTAAGGTACTGGACTCTTACATGGCTGACCATGGTGTGAGTCCGGGATCTGGTGGCTTGAAAATCATGCTGGTCGGGTGTGCATGTGTGCCCAAACTCCTGAAAGAGGAAGAATTTTGGTGCAGCTATCTGCCCTGGGGAGTGAGTTCTCAAGTTCCCTCTCTGTCTCTCCAGTGAGCTCACACGCCCTATGGCAAATACCTTAAAAGAAAAAAAGAAAAAAAAAGAACCAAAACCAAGGTCATGTTCATAACCTTTGCATAAGTTTGTTTATAAATAATATAAGCTAATATATGCCTTCTAGCTTTCCACTGGGCTAATTTTATATTGTTACAACTACTCTGGGTTCTCCAAATGATGTCTTTTTGCCTTTTTTTTTTTTTTTTTTTGGAGAGGTTTTCGCTATAGGGCGCGTGCGCTCGCCAGACAGAGAGAGACAGAGAGACAGAAAGCAAGAAATCACCCCCCAGGGGGGATGGTCACAACGCAGTCCCTTCTCCTCCATTCTCCTCTCGGGATCTTGGGCACGCATGCATATGCGCCCGGCGTGAGTTTTAAGCCACCAGGTCCGGGATGCAAATCGCAGTCGACTACGTGAGAGTCCAGCGACACAGCCATTACGCTAACTGCTGGTTCCCTGATGTCTTTTTGAATAGGAAAAGTCTCCTATCTAATGCCCATAATACCGTGATGCACTGCCATCACTTAGAACTTCCAAGACAGCTTCTTCAAGTTCACTTAATTTTCTAAAGAAGAAAAGCTCATTACGCTGCCTTGAATAGTTCTTTAATTTAACGGGACCATCATTTAAGGTAAGCACCTAATGAATTCCAGATACTGGATTTTCTTAAATCCTGGATTCTTCTTTTATAAATATTTTTAAAACTCCTGAAAACATATTTCCCCCGAAATTCAAAGATCTGAAAATGAACATTTATAATGTTATATTAGGTATAAAACGGTAAAAAGAATCATACCAACTATAGCTATTACATTTGTTAGTACCTCTGTTATTCTTCCTAATCATAAAAAAGGATGATACAGCAAATTGTAGGAAAATTCTAAAAAACTCTCTCATGGAGGGAAACTGCTCCCGTGAAAGCTGCTGTGGGAGGTGCTAACGTCACAGCACTCGGCCACAGACCAGCAGTCAGAACGGCAAGGCCACAGTGTCACCTTGGGAGGCACTTCAAGGCTAAGTCACTTACCTGCGTTTTCACTCGGCTTTCCACAATGAGACATCAAAACGTTATATAAATACTTAATGAACAATGTCATTAGGCAGCTACGAGGCATCTTTCCTACTTCAGTGGTAAGATGACAATATTCTACGGGGTCTGCAGGCTGCCACTGAGCTAATCTGGTTATTAATTTATTAGTCTTCTCATAAACTCAGAGAACATTTTTTTTAAGAGAGATCTTTGCTGCCAGAGACAGAAAGCAAGAAATCACTCTCCAGGGGTGATGGCCATGCCACAGTAACTCCTCCTCCATTCTCTAGGATTTGGGGCACGCATACACGCACGCGCACACACACTCCCAGTGTGAGTTTCAAGCCACCGGGCCCAGGACTCAAACCACAAAAGACCATGTGGGAGTCCAGCGACGTAACCACTATGCCATTTGCTGGCCCCCAGAGAACACATTTTTAACACTACCCATCTAACAAATGAAGATCAGGCCTTTTTGCTATTTCCTGGTATTCTTATGTCAAAAGCCCCTTGGAATCAGAGAAAGGCCCTCATTATTTTTTTTTTCCAAAGCACTTAGCACTGACCTCGTTTTTCTTAAAGATTTCTTTCTTTATTTAAAGAATTATTTATTCTATTTAACTTTATTTGCTTATTTTGATTTGACAAGAGAGAGAGAGAGAAAGCCGCCACCACTCTTCCTCCTCCTCGAACTGTAGTCAGCCACGTGGGAGTCCAGCAGCCCAACCAACACGCCACAACACCCAAGAATTATTTATTATTATTATTTTTAAAATGCTTATTTATTTAATTCCATTTGTTATTAGTATTGTTATTAGTTTTTTAATATGACCAGAGAGAGAGAAAGAGAAAGAGAAAGAAAGTAAGTCGCCAGGTCCGGGACCTGAACCACAGTTGGCCATATGGAATCCAGCACCTTTAACCACCACACCACCTGCTCACCTCATTTGAAAAAAAAATTATTTAATACCATTTATTATTATTATTATTTTTAAACTTGCTATGGAGCATGTGAGCTCACCAGAGACAAAGTGAGAAAGCAAGCCACCAGGTCCAAGAATCAAACCAAGTCAGACAGTGTGAGTCCAGCACTTTAACCACCTGCTGGCCCCACAATGACCCTGTTTTAAAAAGACTCAATATTTGACTACTTAGTCTAAATGGGCGTAAGACTTGAGCAATGAAACTGTCGATCTAATTTCCTCTAGCAAAGAATCTCAGATGGGTCTTTTCTCCAAGCAAATAACACATGCATGTTCAAATTCAGGAGGAGAGGTTTCAGTAGTTGGTGGATTTAAAATCAGCCTCAGTGTAGGCCTTCTTAGGCTAATAGTTACAGTAGCAAACTTGTATCACCATACCTGCTTAAACACTTCTTCATCCTGGTGAGTGGTTCTTACCAGCTCTTGAATGAAGCCATATGGAAGATTCCTACACAGCATATACGGCACTAGGAAGGACGGCTGCTGCATGGACCTGTGGACCCAAGAAAATCGAAGACTCGCTGAAGTCAATTCACTACCCCATAACAACAGAAGCACAGGTTAGCCACAAATGTCAGTCAAAAGTCAAACTTGGACTCTCCCAAATACTCTAGACCAGGGGTTCTCAGCCCCCAGGCTGTGGACTGGTGCTGGTCCATGGCCTCTCTCTTCCCAGAGCTGTGTAGCGCAGGGTGGGCAGCAGCGAAGAGCAACGCTTCCTGAGCTTGCAGCTGGTCCCACGGCTCGCACTGCTGTCTAGGCTCTGCCTCCCATCACATCAGAGGCGGTACTGGATTCTCAGGGAGCATGAACCCTACTGCTGTGTGACTGTTTCACTGTATATTCCAACGTGTCAGTGGTGGAAAGGGGGTATGTGGTGGCTGTGGTGTGCCTGGGTCATCCCAGGACCATGCCCTAATCTCCGTCCCTGGAGGGACTGTCTTCCACAAGGCTGGTCACTGGTGCTGAGAAGGTAGGGGACCATGGTTTTGCATGACAGTTTTGGGCAAAAGATAAGATTTCTTATCATTAGTAATCACATTTTTTGCCTTTTAAATGAGATGCTACAGACAAGTTTCAAATAAACCATATTTTCTTATATAATGCCTTTTAAAAATAAAGTATTTTTTAAAAATGAAGCTTTGGGACCAGCGAGTATAATGGTTATGTCACTGGACTCTTACAGGACTCTTGCTGGACTGTAGTTCGAGTCCTGGACCTGGAGGCTTAAAACACGCCAGGCATGTGTGCTTGTGTGCCCCAAATTCCGAGAGGAGAATGGAGAAGAGACTGCAGCATGGACATCCCCCCGAGGAGTGAGTTCTCACTTTTGGTTTCTCTATTTCTCTGGCAAGCGTATGCACCCTATAGCAAAAATCTCTCTCAAAAAAAAAAAAAAAAAGTTTTTTTTTCTGTTGTTTGTTTTTTTAATGTATGTCTCACCTAGATTACCAAAAAAACCAAAAAGATTAGCAATGGCTGAGGACATTTTTAAGGACTTAACGAACCATAGAACATTTTGAGTCTTGGTACATGTATATAATTTCCCTTAAAAAAAAAGTATTATAAACATGGTTTTGGTATAGAAAATAATAAAAGAACACCCAGAATGAATATATGTAACTGTGTCATTTATCCTTTAGATATTTTTGCAAAAAAGAAATAAAACATATAAACAGTTTTATTAAACTTGAAACTTTCATGGAACTTTCAGAAACCATAATGTAGCACTTAGGGCCACTTCCCAATTTTCGATTCTACTACTTTATCACTGAATAACAGATACTATGTGATAAATGGCATGTGATGATACACACGTTTTATCAAATATCTCCACTGATTTTAAACAGCTGCCTTTAAATGAAGTTATTAATTTCCTGCCTTACTGTCCATATGATTTTTTTTTTGAAGAGGTTTTTGCTATAGGGCACATGCGCTCACCAGACAGAAAGAGACAGACAGAGAGACAGAAAGCGAGAAATCACCCCCCAGGGGGATGGCCACGCCGCAATGCCTTTTCCTCCATTCTCCTCTGGGGATCTTGGGCACGCACGCACAAGTGCCCAGCATGATTTTTAAGCCACCCAGTCCGGGACGCGAACCGCAGTTGACTACATGGGAGTCCAGTGACATAGCCATTACGCTAACTGCTGGTCCCTTGTCCATATGTTTCAACAATGGTCTTTTTTTTTAAAAAGAACTATTTTATTTCACTTTATTTATTTCATTTATTTACATTTGACCAGAGAGGGACAGAGTGACAGAGAGAGAGGGAAAATGAGAAAGGAAGCTGCAAGATCTGGGACTCGAACCGTGATTGGCCAGGTGGGAGGTCAATGCCCTCAACCGCCCGACTGCTCTGCTCGCCCAACAATGGTCTATTTTTAAAAGGGCACAGAATTTAAAAGTTCTTAAAACATAGACTCAGGATTGGGAGTCCAAACAAAGCTGCAAGTCAGGTTAACTAACTTGTAACCTTTCAGGTCAGAACATAGACACACAGGGCCGTTGCTTTCTTTTTTTAACCTTGTTTACTCCATGAGTGACAGAGTCGGCATCCCCATCAGGCTCTTGATGCCACAATCCACCCCAGCCTCAGTAAGTCGCCCTCCCTGGCATAAGTGTGCCTGGAGTACTCTGGGAGGGCTGCAGGTGCGAATCTGGAACCAACCCACATGGGTCAGCCACGCAGAGCTTTACGTTGTCCTGCTACACACCATCAAGCCCATTACCTACACTGCCAGAAAAATGGCCAGCTTGGGTGCAGAGGAGCCGAGATATTACAAAAGGTTAGGAGGCTTGGCATCCCGAACTCTCAGTAGGAAGCAGCCTGCAAAAACCATTTGGCTGCAGAAATGGGCCTCTGGATATGGCAAGGACAGGATCTTCCCAGGACAGAACCAGCAGCCTAGAGAATCATGAAGGATCTCCCACAGGCCTTGAATCCTGGTCAACAATCAGCATGCCTTCTATTCGATTTTTTTTTTAGAATTATTTATTTAACTTTATTTATTATTCTAAAATGTGGCCATAGAGAGAGAGGGAAAGTGAGAAAGCAAGCCACCAGGTCCAGAACTCAAACCACGGTCAGCCATGGGGGAGTCTACCACCTTAACCACTCTGCCACCTGCCAGCCCCTCTATTAGATTACTTAAATATAATTTCTTTCCCAAATATGTTTTACACCATAGAAGATAAGGAAGAAAAGAACGTTTTATTTTCATGGTATTTTAGAGAAAGAAAGGGATGTAAGAGGTCATCTGATCATTTTCGTTTTTCAGGTAAGGAAAGGAGATAGCTAAGGTGGTTTTAAATAAAAGGCCGAGTAGCCTGATGTCCACTAACGGAGAGGAATGTCAATGTCCTCTCCCTGCGACGTCAGGCATGTAACAGCTCTGCATACCTTGGCTGTGTCAGGGAGCCTTGCAGCACTAATGCAGTATGCGATATGCACTGGGAGCGGATATTGCTCAGAAGCTGGCTGACGGCTGGCTGGCTGCACATCTGAGAAAGAAAGAAACAAAATCATCTCTGAAACAAGTCCGAAGACATCAGCTGCAAGAAAATGGCATGCCTTTTTCTTCTTTTATTAGTAATGAACAAAATACAGCAAATATCTTACTCGAGTGTACCACCTCCACTGAAATCTGTGGTCAGAGAAGGAAGCAGCTGCTTGAGGTACACACTTGGAATCCGTGCAGACTTGCCACTTGCTTTGCTATTGCTAAGATTAAGTACAACACTATCCCAAAGAGGTCCTTTCCAGATACGAAACTAATGGGGGAGGCAACTGGTTTCGTTTCTAATGTAACACAAGAACCAGAAAATAAAATAGGAATAAAATGGGAAAATAATGATGTCGGTTGGCACAAAGACATGGATAAAGTGTAGCTTCCTGAGTTAAACCCACCCTGGTAATTTACAATTCATGTGAATCTGGACAATTACTTAATCCCTCTGAGGGTCATTTGCTTATTTATGCCAGGGACAAAAAGGATACCTATCTTATATTGGGTTGCACTGGACTAACTGAACACTGGTGAGAATGCAAGCTGGTAGAATGTGGAGTGAGCACCGTTCTCGGCAGTCTGCAGGCGCTCTACCGTGTTGGAGCAGGCTACCTCGACTCACATTTGGTCCTATCACCTCGCCGCCCCACGAGTGGGAGGCAGGGATCCTGCTTTGTTCACTGATATAGCTCAGGTTCCTAGCATAGCACCTGACATACAGTCAGTACTCAATAGCTACAGATACTTTACTAACTGAATCAATGAGTGAATGCTCCTGGGAGTGGGAGATTACTTATCAAACAAAAAACTGGGCGGTTTTTGTTTTGTTTTATTTCACATTACCTTTGGTGCTTTTTTTTCCTCTATTCCAACTCGGTCAAAACACTCGATGAGGTAGTTCAGCATATCTGTCTCCTTGCAGGTTTCAATGGTAAAATGGTCACTGTAGGAATCCCAATTACTTGCTCCACCAGAGGCTCCCAAACTTTGGAGGAGAGAAACAGAAAAGAAAAAGGATGATTCTTCACTCTTCTTATTTCTTTCAGCAGAGTTTGCATTTCTGCAGCAGAAAGCCTGTTAGGAGCCCTGCACCCATGACGAAGCACAAACATCCATGCAGCCAAAACTGGAGCTGATGGCTTGTTCCACCTCCTCTAACAACAATAATTTTTGGTAAATATTTTATGGACCTACAAAGGGGACCTTTCTTACTGGGATGGCACCTTACAGACCACAAGGACTAAGAACAGTACCTAGTGCAAAGCATTTGAAGGAATGTTACAGGTACTTAAGCCAAACTAGCCAGCATCACGCAGGCAGAACCGTAGGTTAAAGCCAGACCATGCCATTGCTGTAATGGAACTCTTCCAGACAGAAAACGTAAGGCACTAACGATAACCCGCATCCTCATGACTTCTGGCATAAATCTCAAAAGCCTTCATCCAGCATTTGGCAACAGGACCAGAGCTGGGGCACAATATCCAGTTAGGAGGAGACATGGATATATATTAACACAAAAATCCCAAAACCTTCCGTGAAAAGGGCAAAGTAAAACAAAGTCAAAACAAAACAAAAATCTTGTAGTAGGCGTAATCGAACTTGGCTTCCAACCTCAGCCCTGCTGCCTACTTTTTACCTAAACCTGGAACCTCTATTTGCAGTGAGGCTTCAATGAAGCAATGTGGGAGCACTTCCTAACAAGCAAGCAGGATACAAGGAACACTATTAGTAGTAATAACTTATCTGAGACGAAAACCAAACATAATCACAAGAGTAAGGTTTAAGGAGATTCAACAAATTAGGATCAGCAAATTGATAGGTCGTATACTAAATCTGGTGTTTGCTCACAAATTGACTTCGTATACATACACAAATAATACAGGGAGATTAATCATGACATAGGAAGAAGCAAGGAATTTTGAATGAAGTAGAAATGAGAAAAAAAGTTTAGCAAAAAAATTATACATAGAAAATGATAAAGGAGGGGTCAGCACGTGGCATAGTGATTAAGGTACTAGACTCCCACAAAGCTCACTGTGGTTCAAGTCCTGGACCTGGCAGCTTGAAACTTAAGCCAGGCATGTGTACACATGTGCCCAAAATCCCAGGAGAATGGAGAAGGGACTGTGGCATGGACATCCCTCCAGGGGGATGATTTCTCATTTTCTCTCTCTTGTCTTTTGAGTGCGCCCAACAGCAAAAATCTCTCTCTTAAAAATAAAAAAAGAAAATGATGATAGGAGAAACATCAGGAACTATATAAACACATCCCTACTTCAAGTTGTGATAGAAAATTAAAGGCTAAAAACTAAAAGGATTAAGAGAAATTGAAATAGCAACAATATGTTATAATATGTATAAACTAATTTTGGCAAATATATATAACTGACCTTAGAATTTTGTAAAAATGTACATAATTGACCTTAAAATAAAATCATGATATTAGGGCTAGCGGATAGTGTGTAGTTAAAGTTCTGGACTCCCACATGGCCAACCACGGTTTGAGTCCAGGACCTGATGGCTTGCTTTCTCTCTCTCTGATGAGCACACATGCCCTATAACTATATAATAATAATAATAAATGAAATAAATCATTCTTCAAAAAATAATAAACCATGATATTAAAGTATGTCAGTAAAGAAGGTAAAAATGATGTCGGTTTTAAACCCAAGGCTTTTGGCCCAGAGTCTAGTAAATATAAATTCCTACCACCTACAATAGGTCTGACAGAAGGGAAGGGAGGAAACAAGGCTGAGAGGCAAAGAGTAAGAGAGCCCACTCTGCTGACTGAGCAGGTAACTACGCCACCCACCAAGCACTTCGCCAGGGTCATGATAAACATGGGCAGGGCAGCATGGGAACCCTAAGAAAACAGAACCAATTCTTGTATATCCACAGCAATGATTATTTTTTGTTTTTCAGAGACAGTTATGTTGCCCAGGCTGGCCTCAAACTCATGATCCTCCTGCTGCAGCCTCCCAAATAGCTACACCTACAGGAGTGTGCCACCGTGCCTGGCTATAGCAATTAATCAAGGGTAGCAGCTGGTATCTGACAACTGGCCTGACAACAGAAAGGCTGAGTACTATAACAAATCACAGAAAAACGATACATTAAAAACGAAACAGAGGCCAGTGGATAGCATTAATGGTTAGGTAGGTGGACTCCCACGTGGTCAACCATAGTTCAAGTCTTGGACATGGTGGCTTCGAATTCATGCCAGGTGCACGTGCGTGTGTGCCTAAGATCCTAGGAGAATGAAGGAGAAGGGACTGTGGGATGGCCATCGCCCCTGGGGGCGGGGGTGTGGGGGGATGTCTCACTTTCCCTCTCATTGTCTCTGTCTCTCCTGGGCAAGCACATGTTCCCCTAAGGCAAAACTTCTTAAAAAAAAAAAAAAAAAAAAAAGAATTAGAAGAAAGCAAAACAGAAAAACCCATTAATAAATCAAAGAAATTATTCTCCCCCTTCTGTCTGACATTGGTGACTCAGTGCCTATATTTGCTGTACTTCCTCCTAAAGATGACCTTTGTTAATACAGGTTTACACTTATACACAACTGAGGGTAATTTTCCTTTGAGTAGCTGCTGCAAATGACAATGAAAATAGATCTTATTTGTGTGTAAAATGAAAATTTTAAACTATACATTGTCTTGATGATAAGCCCTACATTTCTCACGTTTTCACATTTCTGAAGTGAAAAACACCCTATATTTGATGTCAGCATGTCCCAGCCAGTTGTGAGAAGTCAGCCTGATGTGCTCCCAGCCAGCACGTGGACCTATGATGAGCATGCTTAGACAGTGCTGGCTCGCACGAGTGCCACTGAGATCAGGCCCCACCCTCAGCACCACATTCCATTCCATTTTAACTTCAATCGGAACCTGTCGCTACCACTTAAGATACTTTCACAAATGTTACACTAAGGCATGAAGAGTGACAATGCATGTCGTAGACTGCTTATCTTGTGCTGGGCAAGGCAATGAAAGACACTTAGAATCTGTCACAGAAGTTTCAAAGCTGAAAGATGTTGGTATAAATTGGTGATCATCTGTCAGGCACCAAGCAGCCAATTGACTTTCAAGAGAAGAGGGGGGGGGGGAACCAGCAGTTAGCGTAATGGCTATGTCGCTGGACTCCCACGTAGTCGACCGCGGTTCGTGTCCCGGACCCGGTGGCTTGAAACTCACGCCGGGCGCGTGTGCGTGCGTGCCCAGGATCCCGAGAAGAGAATGGAGGAGAAGGGATTGCGGCGTGACCATCCCCCCTGGGGGGTGATTTCTCGCTTTCTGTCTCTATGTCTCTCTCTGTCTGGCGAGCGCACGCGCCCTACAGTGAAAATCTCTCCAAAAAAAAAAAAAAGAGAAGAGGGGGGGGAAAAAAAAGAGAAACCAAACAGGAAATGTAGAGTAAACCTAGTCAACCTTAGTATCTATCAATACATTTCCAAAGTGGGGGCCAGCAGGTGGCATGATGGGTAAGGGCCCTGGATTCTCACATGGGTGACCATGGTTCAAGTCCCAGACCTAGAAATTTGCTTTCTCACTGTCCCTCTCTCTCTCTGGAAATATTAAAATAATAATAATAAAGTTAAATAAAATACATTTCCAAAGTGTAAGATCAAACCTAGGCAGGTGCTAAAGCAAAGTATGATGACAGGTATAAAAAGAGGTCAGTCATGGGACCAGCAGTCGGTGTAATGGCTATGTCACTGGACTCCCACATAGTCGATGGCAGTTTGAGTCCCAGACCCAGTGGCTTAAACTCACACTGGGTGCGTGTGTGTGCATACCCAAGATCCCGAGAGGAAAATGGAGGAGAAGGGACTGCGGTGTGGCCATCCCCCCTGGTGGGTGATTTCTTGCTTTCTATCTTTCTCTGGCAAGTGCATGCACCCTATAGCAAAAACCTCTCCAAAAAAAAGAGTCAGTCTTGCCACACCTGATATGCACAAGTGTCCATGGACAAATCTGATTTACAAGGATTTTCAGACTCGAAGTGAGAGTTGGACTCAAATTCTAAATGTCATAATGAAGGGCAAAGTGGTGCATAGTTTATTCACATAAACTTAATGCTATCACTAAGCATTTTTAGGTGTTTAAAGTAGTAACTAGGCTTGGTGGCTGGGTCTATAATACCAGTTACTCAAGAGGTAAGGTAGGCTGATCATGTGTTGGAGGTCTGTCAGCCTGGGCAACTTAGCCCTGCCTCAAGAAAGAAGAAAAAAAAAGTTTAAAGTAATATTTCATTTTATTTCCTCAAAGAGTTGCTACAAAATTCATGATGCTTTTACAACTGTGATATCCTAACATCTTGAAAATATTTTGTATTTAAGTCCCAAGAGCATCTAAAACATTGTACACCTCTCTCTGAGAGAGTATGTGAACCACTTTCTGTTGACTCTAATAGCAGTCCAAATTAATCATGTCATTACTTCACTTAACAGAAATACTGCTGAGACCTGAAAATATTCCTGGGAATTTACATACACATTGGACCTGTGCGGATTGAATCTCATTTTAAATGCATCAAGAAAACTTGCTTCTTTTTTAATTATTTTTTTTCTTTTTTTCCCCCTAGCCCTAAGAAAACTTGCTTCTTAAAGAGCTTCCATTGGAATTTCTTCTTCTTCCTCTTTTTTGAAAAAACGGGAATAATCACTGTCCCATTTGCTAACTTTTTTTTTTTTTTTTTAAGATTTATTTCCTAAGAGGGAGAAAGACAAGTACCCCAGACAGGATTTTCGTGCTGCCGGGATTTTCCTCTGCCAAGCCCTACAGCAAGCCAGGACCCCAAGTGCACTTGGAGCGTTCAGGCAGACCCTGGATGCAGACCCAGAGCCTTCCTGTGTGGCCTCCAGTGCCGTGCAGCAGCACCCTTACGGCCTGCACCTCTGCAGTTGGGTCACTATTTGCTTTTTAAACGAAGACTTTGGGACTTTGGCAACCGTCTCAGTGCAAGGCAAAGTCAAAGCTGTGTGGGTTT